CTGTGCTTTCGCTCAGGTAAGCATTATGGCTATATGTCTACGGCTGTGACTCTGACAACAACTACCGAGGAGGGCAGCCAGCGGGAAAAAAAATATATAAATACTTGTAGGGGAGAACGCAGCGGCAGCAACAATAACGAGCTGAAAGTTGAAAACTTCTGAAAATTGTTGTTGTTTGAGGCAGTACCGTGTGCGTGTTGGGGCATATTGGGCCTAAAGCTCCAGAGATTTGAGTTTCTTTGAGTGTTTAAAACGGTCTTTAGGGGGTATTTTTGGGGAATTTGTTTTTTAAATTTCAATTGACTTGTTGGGAGATGGCTGGGTTTAGGCTTGAAATGATATATTAGGGATATAATAGAGGCTATAATAATTTAATTATTTATATTCTTAAAGGGAGAAATAGTTAAAACTGGGGATAGATAACTTAAATTGAGTAAATTTTATATTTCAGGCTAATTTAAACAAATATCTTGTCAATTCTAACTTAAAGGATATCATCTTATCGTTTCTCACAACTTAAATTCCAGTTTTGGTTGAAACTTGGTTATGCTTTTCTTTTTGTGATTGTACAAGGACAGTTTATATCAACTAAATGTACTCTAGTTTTATAACTACATAGTTGTAATGCTTGCAATTCAAATCAAACACAAAATTTGATAACAAGTTCAGTTTCTCAAATTAAGACAATAAACATTTAAGCATATAGTTTAATTTGTCCTCACTCAAAGGAATATGTTTGTTGCTAAGGAAAATGCTTTCCCTCTTGATGGCTCATATAAAAATGTCATCGCCTAAGTGGCACGATGAATGAGAATAATAATAAAGTTGTTGGGCGGCGGGAAATATTACTTGCAACATCGACTTTGGCCACGCCACATAAATTAGAAGTGCGTGAAATCTTGGCATATAAATTTAATGTGCCGCCAGCGGAGCAATGGCAACAAATCAAAAACACTTTTAAATGGGCACGTCGCTGTCGTAAAAACATCAGCGAATCGTAATTTGCTTGCCTTATTTATTGAATGTTTAGTCGATGCGTTGGCCAAGAACAATAACAACGGAGGAGCCTTGGGCATAAATCAAGCACGTGTACGGTTAAGGGCGGTATTTTGGGATCTCTGAAGGGATCGGATCGCCGCCTGACAGCACTTTGTCGGCGAGAGTCCTGTGGGCGGACAGGAGCCGCTGGCAATCCTGCCCCAAAAGCCGACAGCCAGCTGAGCTTCTAGCTTAAGGTGAGTGCAGCTTCTGCAGCAGCATTTGCATGCCACTCACCTGTTCCGTTCTGTTCTGCCCGCTGATGTTGCCGCCATTTCGACTTTTACCTTTTCGCATTGTCTGCTCGCTGGCTCGTTTTGTTTTAGGTCGTTGGTTTTCTCGGTTTAGCTCTAATTGAAAATATTTTTGTTTGCACTTCATTAAACCCAAACTGAGCAGCAAACTGAGAGATATGCAATGTCTGTCAGTTGCATTTGGTTGCTGCAGAGAAGCTACCAAGGGAGAGTGAGAGGTTTAATAGATATGTATGCAGGGGGTGGAGAGGAGGGTTTTTTGCACAAAGAGACATGGCTGTTTCGAATGTTATTATTGTTTTCCATCCATCCCATCCCCTTTCCCGTATTTTTCCCCTTGTTGTTTTTCGTGTTTTTAATCCAAAATGCAATCATTGAAATGCATTTTATTTAAGCTGCACTCGCTTATTGCATTTTTGCATACAAATTTGGAAAGCTTTTGTGTGGGGGAAACCCCCAAGCGACTTATTTTTATATGCTTACAACTCCACAACGGAATCCTGGCCAACCTGACCTCTCTCTCTTCCTCTGTGCTGTATGTGTGTGTTCCTCGCAAATTCAATGACAGTTTGTGCCTTTTGCAACTTTCAGTTGATTTTTTATTGTCAATCGAACAATAACGAAATCATCGGCCAAGTTACGCCAAACGCCGCAGCAGACTCCGATTCCGATTCCGATTCTGATTCCGAGTCTGAGTCTGATTCTCCGGCTGAATGTGACAGTGGCTCAGCACGGCGAAAACTTTAAGGTAGGCAGCCCGGAATTCTGACGGCAGTCGAGCGTGCCACACCCCATCGGTGGAGATTTATATGCCCAGGCGATGTGACTCAATCAATGGCATTTGTGTTGTGCCACGACAGCCGGTGAAGAGGGGACTCGGGAAAGGAGTCTTCGAGTCCTTGCCCCTCTGGAACGGCGGGCGCAGCAGGACATCAGACAGTCGGAGAGACACAGCACAGCATTTTGTGTAAAGAAATCAAAAATTTATACAAACTTTGCACAATGAATGAGCAGCAACAAAGCAGGAACAGGAACAGGGGCAGGACCAGGAGCTGTATACCAGCCGAAGGACGAGTGTGTCCTGCCTTGGCCAGGACCAGCAATTGCCGAAAATTGTTGCAGCTCGCCTCGCTCGCTTTTTGACAAAAGAAAAATACAAGAAAAATACGAACATGTATGCACATGAATAAAATATGAGAATTAAAGATTAAGAAAATTTAAAATTAAGGGGAAAACCTTAAAAGAAAGTCATACTTATGGGAAATCCCTTATCTATTATTATTAAAATAAAACACAATTTAAATTATTATAATATATTTCTTTCCAGTGTAATCACTCGACGAGCAGCTGACTTGCAAGTTGCTGCAACAAAAATGCGACAAGGACAGCTCGAGACCGGACAACAGCTTCAGGATGTGTGCAGGTAGGTAGGTAGGTAGCTCTCAGTTGCTGCCAGTCCGGTGAGACGGGGGCCACAGCAGACGAATTAATTAAAAATTCCGAAAATATCCGGTTAGCTCTTTATAACAATTTCGTGCACAATACCGAACTCAGGCTCTATACGTGTGTCTGTGTGTGTGTGCATCCTGCCAAGGAACTTTAACGCTGCAGAAATTTTAACTACCACCAGGCGCCTCAAGATGACTTCATCTATCTGGCCGACAGCCATTGAAACTGTTCTCGTCTCGGCCGTTTACCAGGCAATCTACATAAATGAATTCATTTGCCATCCATATACACACATACACATGCATATATGCACAATAGCATGCCGAGTTCTCGGGTCGTATACGCAATATTTGATATTTATTCTCTAATTGAGGGTACGACCCGGTCCTGAACTGGCCCTAAAGTCCTGTTTGTTCACAGAAATAATTGCTGCTGCCGAATAGGGCGTATAAACGGAAGTATTTCTACATCAAATACAAGGGAGGGGGGGAAAAAGGGAAAATCATCGAAAGCGAGGAAAATGTGAGGAAGCCAAGAAACGTCCGGTGATTTGGCAATAAAAAATGACCGGAATGCTCGTTAAAACTAAAAACAATTGACCACATAAATTAGCGGCATTAAAATGCCAAAAGGCATGAGGCCAGAAATGGCCCCAAAAACGGCCGGAAGGAAGTGCGAGCGATTGATTCAATTAATTGCCAAATTAAAAAGGGAAAAATCTCATCCGCACAAAAAGGGCAAAAGGAAAAGCCGAAAGGAGACGAAGGGAATGTTATGACAATGTAAGGAAACCAAATAATAAATGACGAGGAGCCGCCTCCCTCCCTCCCAGTAACCGATCCTGGGCTGACAGACAAAGTGACAGGCGCCGGGGGCCTCCTCACTGGCACAATTGAATTTATTATGGCATTTCAACTCGAAGAGCGTCAATTGAATGAAAGTGGACCAAAGCCCACCCACCAGGCCACAGGCTCCCAGATCGAAAGGAGAAGGAAAAGAAAGAAAGCCCGGCAAAGCTCTGTTGCAATAGCATCATTATTGGACTAAACCGAAACTATTTGCCTCAATGGGCCACAAAGCGCCACACGACACGCCAAAGGACACAGCCGGAGAATCAAACGGAGAAAGACAGCAAAACAGAGACAGCAATGGGGGCCAAGGCGGACCCACATCACAGAGCAGTCTCTGTGATAGTCCAATGCCCTCGGGGTATATTTTTCGCCACTTTTGCAACGGCCAAAAGTGTTGACTGTCTTTGATTTTGTTTGTCTGCTTGTTTGGGCCGAAGGTCGCCCAGGGACAAGGGCTGGAACACCAGCAATTACACACAACAGTTTTGTCAATCGGGCCAAAAGTTCAGAGCACAGAGCATAATCAGGAATGTATCATAAAGCCATACGGTAATTCATCCATAATGTTTTATTTCTGCAGTGTGAGCAATTGGAAAAATTGGTAATAAATGTGTAAAAGTTATATTTGATTTTAATGGGTATTTAAAATGTATTTTTTGCAGTGTCTTACTAAATTCTGCCCTTACTTAACATTTAAGTCATTATTCTAGTAAATTTTAAAATTCAAATAAAAGAAATATTTCATTTTCAAACCCATTTTCTCCCAGTATACATCAAAGCCTGTTAGCGAACGCATTGTGGCTGCAAACAAATTACAAAATCGGCTAAACTTAAGCCGCCGTGTTGCGTGCAGTTTATGACTAAAGCGACGCGCCGCCTGCGGATGCTGGATGGAATTCCGGCCACTGCAATTGGCTTTTTCCCAACCGCACTCACGTGCAGTCCACACACACACACACATGACACGGACATGGGCATGGGAAATCCCGTCGCCGTCGTCTATCGGCAAAACAAAGTTAAATCGCCCAAAATCCTTTGACCATGTCACACTTTTATACATAATCGTTGGCTCCGGCACGTGCAGACAACCGCAATGTTGTGTGAGGTCGAAATAAAAAAAAGAGGAAAAAAACATTTTAAACACACAACATACAACAAAGCAGAAATTACAGAAACATCAGCAAATATTACGTATACGTGCGTTCAATGTCCCCGGACGAAGGCCAATAATGCAAAAGGCATTAACAAGACCCAGCACTGGTTTTCCGGAGCAGTTATTGCCATTAACATGGCTTAATTAGCCAACTGGCTGTAACAACACCGGCTTAAAGCATAATTGTAAATATTTCCGGGCTTAAACGAGCCAGAGCCTCTGCCTGAATAATGAACGAGCCTGGGCAGGGATGGACTAGGCGAGCGATCTGAGGAGAATCACGTAGGAGATGGCACTGCGAACAATCTGAAAAGAATTAGAGGAAAATAATTCTAAAAAATATATAAAACATTATGCAAATATATGTAATAAAAATCATAAAAAATAATATAATTATTAATATTAAAATCCTTTAAATTCCCTTTCATACCATAACTAGTGTCTGTCGATTCGCCTCAAAAAAGTACCCATTGATCTGGCAGCCTCTCCTAGCCCTCATCATGGCTATCTTCAGAGATTTCACCAGCGGAAGATTCTCCTTTAGGAGTGGCAACCAATTACTCTCGTAGATGGCTTGACCGAGGCCCTGGCTCTTCTCCTGGACGCTCATCCCACAAAAGCAGTAGATGGACACCTGGCTCAGAATGGCAGTCGTAAAGGCGGCATAGAACAACATGGCTGGCTCCATCAAATGAGCGGACAGCTGGTAGCACAACACACACAGGTGCAAGGAGGCAGCCACAAACTGGGCAAAGATGAGCGGACGGAAGTAACCATTCAACGAATGACCCAAGTCGAGACACTCCTCATACAACTGAAAGATGTGCACCAGGTTCTCGCGTGTCTCCTCCTCAGTCTCACCCTCGAAATGCATCATTTTGTGCTGGGCAATCTCGAAGAGAGCACAGAGGTTGTGGGTTAGGGAACAGAAGAGTGTGTCCACGCAAACGGTGGGCAGGGCCACGCCCAAAGCAGCAGAGACATTCCATAAGTAGGAGAAGAGGTAATTATTAAGGTGAGAGTTGTCCCAAGGATATCTGTAAAGATATGGGATTAAGAATCTTGAATCGTTTGGTTATGATTTCTTTTACAAGCTGGGAAAGGGTAATTCCGGTTGGACTTCTCCTGTTCGTAGGTAGCCACTCAGCATGGACAGAGGAGACATGAGGCAAGCGGAGAGACCAGCCATCATGAAGCAGTGACTGTACAAGGCGCTGATGAACTGATCCCGTCGATTCTGCCTGGTCACAATAAGCTCACAGGGAGTCCAATGAATTTCTAAGGAGTAAACGAAGTAGTAAAAAATATAATATATTAAAAAACAACTTACCCATATTTAGCATATTATGAAATCTTTGTATAAGAGTCCTAAAATCCTCATAATGCCAGAAAAAAAAAACAATCTTGCAGAGGGCCAGCAAGTCCACTAGACCCGAGCACAGCGAGTCTGTGAGTCCCTCCACATTCTGGATATTGCGTAGGCCAAAGGCAATAGTTAGAGGCATGAAACTGCCCACCGAGAGGATGCAGAAGATAGCTCTTCTAGGATAACGACGACACCCTAGACCTCGATCCAAGAGCAGCTGAATTCCCAGTAGGCGAAAGAAAAAGGACTGCAGTCGAAGGAACTTGTCCGTCAGCATGTCGAGTCGGGTAAGTTGTCCAAGACTAAATACATATTTTTTATAAAAAAACCCCCAAGCTCGCTACTAAATTTAGCTCATTAAGGACTAAGTAAAATCAATAACCATTTAGGCGAGGCGTCAGTGCAACCTTCAGTGGCATTTATAATTAAAATTTAAGTATTCAGACCCTTAGCCTTAGTCCTTTAGGTTAGGTCAGGTATTTGTCCTTTGCTTTAAGGAATTTTTGAATGCATCAGCATGCAGCCCCCGACAAAGGGCTGGTCCTGTGATGTTTGCACTATAAATTATACTTAATTAAAAACAATTAAAAGCAAATTCCAATTGCAGCCGTCAAGCCCGGCCTGTGGTGTGGCAAACAAATCTGTGAGCCACTGCAAATATTTGGCAGCAATGCTAAGCAAAAACTAAAACTAAATCCTAGCTGCATTTCAAATGTGAAAACTTTTGTTTGCCTCTCCGCTCAGGCCAACCCATTCCCCTGACTCTCAGTTCAAATTGTATTCTATGCTCGCCTTCGACTAACATTTCAGAGTTTTAATTACTGCTAAGTCCGAGACTTCTCCACCGGCTATCGGAGGAATTGTTGTCGTGGTCAGAGATCACAGCAACTGGCAACTGGCAAAGTTTCGGCCATCCTTTGGTCAGATAATTCAGCTAGGAAATAAATTAATGCAATTACATGCTCGGCCATGGAAGGCAGCTTGAGGCAAAGTCATAAACTGCACACAAATTAAGTTTAGTTTGCACCGACAGCATTATTAATTTGATGTGTGAATGCCAAAGTGAGGAAATCACCGGTTAACCTCCTGTTCTATTTACTCAATTATTAATCGACTTAGTTTTGAGGTCGTCCGGTAATTAATTAAAAATTTCAACTCTGGGGACTGGGGACACAGGAAGCCAGCTGCCTCGCCAGGGAAATCCTCCTGGGAAAGTCCTATAACTGTAGCCTAGGCACATAAAACAAACATTGACACACTGACCAAGCCCACGAAATGGAGTTTATATATTTTCGGTAAAGCAAAACTTGCTCGAAACTCAGCTGGCAGCTGACAGAGAGAGGGGGAAGCCTTCGGGGGTGGCCGAAAACTGCTCAAGAACTTTTTCTTATTCCTGGCATTGTTATTACCACGTTGATGTTGCTGCTGCTGCCGTTGCCGTTGCCGTTGCCATGGCAGGACCCTCAACGAAACTCGAATTTCCCTTTAAAGAAGGCGTGAAATATTCGACTTGAGAACTCGCCAGAATTATAATACTTGAGCCAAAGTCACTTGATAACTATTGTTCAGGGCTTAACACTTGTCAGTTCATTTGTTTTAAGTGGGAGCCAGTGTTGAATGTTTGATTTCCGCTTATGTCTTGGATTTTTTGAGAGTTTCTTTTGTATTTATTTGAAATTAAATAAACTGATTGTATCAATGTATGAATGCTTTATATTTTCGGTTACTTAAACGGATTATATTTTAACAATTTTACTGTTTTGATATTTGATATCTCACACGATTAACTCCCCTCTGAGGAAGGCTCTCCAATAATATTTTATAATTTTTGGTCATAGTCTTAACCCTCTACGACCATAGAGTATCGCCGGCTTCGGGCTAGATCCCCGACTTGAATTACTTTCCCGGGCTAGCCCATTTAGTTGTTGCACTGCCCGGACAGCAGTTGAATCCAAAATGAAATACTTGATTTCAGCCTCCGTGGGATTTTGCCTGCAACTCCGAGGAGGAGCGAAAACTTTGCCGCTCTCGCAGGAAGTCAACTTGGCATCCAGCGGCAACTGCGACTGCGACTAAAGCGATGAGGTGGAGGAGGTTGGGCTGTGCTGGGCGCGGAGCAGTTTGCTTAAAATGTTTAGTGGAAAGTGTTTTAAAATACATTAAAAAGTTCACGGCTGCCCTGGCACGCATTGAATTTATGCGAATTTGGTGAACTCCTTGAGTGGAAACTTTTTGCATTTGCTCGCCCGCGCCCAATCAACTTAAATATTTGTTTAGCAGAGGCTCTTCCCTGGGCTCCCTACCTCAGGTGCCCACCTTTGTTGGCCACCCCCTCCAATCGTACTTAGACAGTTGTAATTAATGCCCCGCATCTCGATGGGTAACCGTATACGTAACTCCCAGCCTTGAGCATGTTTTCATATTTGCTCCTGTCATCATTTAATGAGAGATATTTTATTTTCCCGTCTCATATTTATGGGATGGGATGGGGGGCTCTGGGGGATGCCTGGCTCAAATTTAGATACTTACGTGGGCTGCCGATTTTTACTACCTGTGATTGCCTGTCCTTGCTGCTGGGGCCGTGGTGGTGGTGGTGGTGTGTTTCTGTTTATGCCACGATTTGATACGCTCAAAGAAAACTGTCGAATTTGCAAATGACGAAGCCCTATTTAGATCCCGAGGCGCTTTTGTCTAGGCCCAGGCCAGGAAAATATATTTTTTGCAAAACAAACAAACCCAAAGTAATTTGTTTTTCCATTTTCGTGGGAAAACAGACCACCCTACATTGGCTTATTTTTTTGTTGTTGAATATATGTATCTTTTTTTGGCGCTGGGCTAATTTGCGAAAGCCGTTGCAACTGTTGAAATAAGGAAATTACATTAACGCCAGTCATTTAACCGATTGCCATGTTTCATTAATAACAAACGCTTGTAAATAAATGAGGAACAACGGGAATAACTATGGCCACAACTATGCGATAAGTCAATTAAAACTGTGGCGAGAAAGTAAAACAATTTATTTGAGGCTAAATACCCTTCAAAATATAAATTATGAAACCAAATGACAGGGAAATTAATAATAAAGTTTATTTTAGAAACAAACTTGGATGACTTTTTGGGTATAAAATACTACAAAATAAGTTTAAAATTAAAAAAAATGTAAATTCTTATAAGGGTTACCTGCGTTTTTATAGTTTAAAATTAATTTAAAGCTAATTAATCAGAAATCCTAGAAGTGTATTAATTTAAAAATGTTTCAAAATTGAAACCACCCATATTTTATGTTTTCAACGAAAGAGTAAAGCCCCGCATAAAAAAAGATATAAAGCGCATTTAAATTAATAATCAATTTAAAACACAATCGCTTACTGGTTCAAATGAGAAAAGGAATTTCATATTGAATTAATGCTACTAATGAATATAGTTCATGCCGTTCACGTTGATGTCCAGCCCAGCTCAAAAAAAATAAATAAAACAGTTTAATTTAATTTGTGTCAATTCAGAGCGATAAGCAAAGAGAAAACGCTGCCCGGGACATGGGAAATTATATTAATCAGACAAATAAGTGTTCGCTTTATTTTATGAATAATTAAAAATAAAACAAAATGCATGGCGAGCTGCCTTCGGCGAATGCCAATGAACTACTGCCGGCGGCAAATTGACTTTCCGGGACCACACTTGAGGCCCAAATTGCATAATCAAATACACTTCCATTCAATTATATTTGTGTCACTCGAGTGTTGGCTTCGTTTGGGAATAATTCGGCCAAGACTCAGTGAAAAGCCGGGCTTAATTGAATTTAATTATATGAATATCCATATCGAATATTTGGCTCAAACTTGATTTAAAACCAAAACAATTCGCAACCTTAAAAGGCGGTAAGGTTGCCCACTCTTTGGGTCATAGAAAGTTTAAATAGATACCTACAATTTACAAAATAATTGTTGTAAAACAATTTACACCCCTAAAACACACAATATTATTAGGTTATTTGGAATAACTAGTTAACAAATAATTGATTTAATTTAAAAATTTAAAAATAACTTTATTGTCAGCACTGTCGGCAACTGGGCATTCAAGAGAATATAGGACTTAAGAGAGAAATATCCTGTCCCATTTTCATCATTCCCCAGACTCTTCGGCAAACCCTAAGAGAAAGGCAAGCTCTTAGGCTCTTATCAGCAGGACGAGAGAGAGGACGAGGAACTTGGCCAGCAATTAGACATCTGTCAGCGTGTTGACCCAGGAAACACTCGAAGAATCCCCGGCAGGAGCAGCAGCAGCAACAGCAGCTGAGGCACTCCATCATCCCAGGGCACAGCAGCACACCAGGCCAGCTATTCCGCTCATTCATCCTCCGGGGCCGTGGAACTTCACACGATTTTGATGACCATAATGACAACAATTAAATATAAATCACCGAGCAACAACATGCCAAGGATTTACCTTAGCCACGCACACATACAATTAGCTTTTATGGCCGCGGGGCCAAGGAAAATGGCGGCCATGGCCAGAGACCGACGCGTCCCAGGACGCACTTGGCCAATGGTAATTTGAAAATATGGTAATTATGAAGCGGCTTTGTGTAAGGCAAACACAAAAAAAAAAACAAAAATATTACAGAAAAAAAAAGGGAGAGGAAGAGCAGGAGGAAGAGAATGAAAACAGCGCCAGGACCTCTGACACCGCCGTGTCTGTTCTAATTAGGCGCACATAAATTGCACCACAAACAGCACCGCCAACAGCAACACCAGGACACGGCCATCAGAGCCACCGCCACCGCCACCGCCATGAACAACAAATCCTAAATAACAATTAAAACAATTTCGCAAGATTAAAAACACCTTCCAGCCAATGCTTTAATATTTTAATTAAAAATTCCATAGCCCCGGCTTTTCCTCTCCCTCCACCTCTGGCGAGGTGTTGCCACATTCTCCTGCCTCCATCGCCAGCCCCCTTGAAGCCCCTTGAGCGAATGAGTGGTCGAGAGCTCCCTGAATGGTCTCTGGAGGCCTATGACTTTGAATTATTGCACGGCAAGTCATAAATTAAGTGCGTGGCCCTCCTGACCCCGGCTGGTGCTCCAGCTGAGGGGGGAGCCTGGTCTCCACGCGAATGAAGGCAGGTGGCTGAGTGGTGAGGCCAATCAAGCCCTTGCGAAGAGGAGAGGGGATCGGGGGCTTGAGCAAATGCATTTTATACATGTCTACTTGAAAAAATTATAACTATTATGGTTTATGTTGAATTGGTCTCGATGTAAGTCAGAGAACCACTTGTATTCGAGGTGTAAAGTTAGCCCTAAAAGGGGTCTCTGGCAAGCTTTAATATTTCTATTTTTTATTTATATTATGTTTATTTTAGGTGGTACAAAACAATAAATTTACACAATGAAAAGTGCGTTTATACATTTTAAAATCATAATAAGTTTAAAGTCATTTCAAGTCGAATTTGGTTAAGAAATCCGTTTATTTTTACCTAATTTCTGAAATGTTTTTCATCAGTCTCTTCGCCTTCGCTCCAGTAACAAAATTTCAGGCAAGGAATCCACCAATAAAAAAAAAAACCTAAGCCGGAGAAGCCTTTTTTTAGGACACCTTTAGACCTTCATAAATAAGTGCGCGAAGTATATCGAGGGGAGTTGAACCCGTTAAATGCCGGGCGGCGCAAAAGACTGAAAAGGGGGAGTTGGGGCTCCTCAAGCCGCTGTTGTGGCCGCGCAATCAAATTCAGACATTTGGAGACACTCTCAACGCCCCCACACCCCGCCCCCTAGCGCTGCTTAAGTGTCGTAAAGTCCTGCCCAGGAAGCGAGTGGAGTTGGAGCACAAGGAGCAAGGGAGCGGGGACGGGCGGAGCAAGGACAACAGCAAAGGGGGCTTTTATGATTTATGCAACTATCGCCTGCAGCGTGCCGAAGAAGGAGCCGGGGCGGGGGCGACCAGGAGAGCCATTGCCGAAATCCTTGAGAGAGCCGCCCAAGGCGCGTAAATTCTTCTCCTTTTTTTTTTTGGACATACGTACGTCTCCGAGGAGGAGGCGCTTCAAATTGTGCAATTTTTATGGCGCGGCATTCATGAATAAAAGATTTTCCGATTCACCCCAGAAGAGGCTGGCAGCCCTCCCGCCACCCTCCTGATGGCCTTGCCGAGTGCAAATAATAAGCAGCAAGTGCACAGCCCCGCCTACGGCACGCCCACGCCCACGCCTGGCACCTTGTCGCCCACCACGCCCACACAATTGTCAAGGAGGCGCCGTGTGCTGTGCTCCTCCAAAGGCGGCCTGCAAAATTAGCTAAGCAAACGCTCGGCTGCAGTTTACTTGCCATTTAAGCGCCGCACTCGACAGCTGTGTTTGTCAGTGGCCCCTGCAAGTTGCACCCAGCAACAAACACAACACCCAGCAGCAGCAACAAGAAAATAAGCTGCAGGGACAACCACAAACGGCCGGAAAGTTGCACTGGCTGGTTTACTATTTTTCTTTTGTGGATTGTCTACTCTCTGGAAATAAAATTTAGAAAGTTTAAAATAAAATTCCTGGAAATTAAAAAAAAATGTATAGTATACTATACTAAATTTAGTAAGTCTAACTTTTAAACAAATTAAATTAAAATTTGTAAGCCGATTTATATCATGATAGTATTTAGCTTAAAAGCCCCTAAACTTTCCCTCTAATCATTACTTTCCCCCTATACATTACGTATACGTAATATATACGTATACGTAACGTATAAATGTAATCAAAACAATTTGGAAGCCCATGCTAATCAGGACACTTAATCTTATTAATAATAATATAATAAAAAATAGAATAAATAAATAAAATAATTAAAGGCTTGATTTAAAAATAAAATTAACAGGGACAGCAAATGCTTCATTATTAGTCTTTTAAATTTATTGTGTCATATTTATTTGTGATTGAGAAAATTATATGGATGCATAAAATAGGATTTTTAATTTATTATCTTTTTTTTTAGCACATATCTTTATTAAAATAAATCAAAAATGTCCGAAGGTGCGTTAAATTTGGTTTGACAGAATAATAATAATAACAATAAAATTGTTTTATATTTAATTAAATTGACAATCTGACACATTATTAAAATTAATTTTGTGTATGGCACAAAATATTAAAAATTAATTTAATAATAGTAAAATGACAAGTAATTGCTGTTGCTGATAATTTAAATTTTGAAGAAATGAGACAAAAACTAAAATTTGTCAGAAAATGTACGTTTTTTTTCAGTGTAGGTGAATAAAACACAAGTGCTACCAGACTTAGCGACCAACATTGCCAGATAGTCCGTTTAGGAGCGATGAAAAGTACCAGACCGCGCGCAGTAATGTCATTTTGACGATCTGGTACTTTTGGTCCGATCTACCAGCGTTGCCAGATTTTTCGGGTCGCTTTTTAGCGTTTTAGTATGCCCAGATGCCGCGAATGCGGAAATAGCGAGCCTTGTCTAGCTTTGAGATATTTAAGGTGTCCGGCATCTGGTCACACCAAAAAGAAAAATAAAATCGAACGGTGTTGTTGTGTCGCGGGCGGATGAAAAAAAAAACTGAAACAACGGCGTTTGCGGCCACGCTCGTGTTTATCCTGTTTTAGAGAATATTAAAACAAATCGCCTGTTTTTCCCGTTTTCGTGAATTAAAAACGGCTGCGTGGGCGTGTGTGTGTGTCGTTCGTGTCCGTGTGATATATTCCGGGGCTCCTTTAGCCTTATACAGTAAATACTCGGTTACGCGCCCTGCACTTGTAAGTTAAGGTGTGCGAAAAACGCGATAAATGCGAAAATGGGCGAAGAGGCAACTAACTAGCAAAAACGCAATATCTCCTTCTCCCTCTGCCCTTCGCCCGACTCGCTCGCTCCCTTTCGCTGCTTGGCTTACTGCCATTGTTGTTGTAGATTTTTTGCCGCCTATGACCAGCGTTTTGTTGTTGCGCAGCATGCAGGAGCGTGCGTGTGTGTGTGTAAATTCCAAAACATACGCCGCCTCGCACAGTGGTTAAAAATGGGGAATATCAGCCAAAAGCATTTCCAATTCCAAGGCCCGGCTTGGTGTGCGTGTGTCTGTTTGGGTGTGTCGCGTTAATAATAATTTTCCGCTTTTGTGCCGCTTAAGTTTCTTTCACCAATTCCTCCATTCTAGACCCCTTCGCTTAACGTTTTCAAGTGTGCGTGTGTGTGTGTGTGTGGAAAAGGAAAGGAAGCAACAAATGCGTCGCGTTGCCAACTAACTACGTGATGAAATGCGTTTTATGGCATTCCAGCCAATTGACAATTAGAATTGATTATTATTCATTATTTCGCTTATTAACAGCACACGCACACAGGCACATTCCTGTTTTTTTTATCAAGAGAGAGAGAGAGCGAGCGAGTGCTTCAACTCTCTTTCTCTCTCGCGCGCGCTCAAACAAACTCCACAACAACAAAGCAATTGGCAAGGCCAGGCAGAGGCCTACGTTTTTGCGCAACGTAAGGCCGCCACGTAATGCGTAAACACTCGAAATTAATCAAGAAAAAATCACAAAATGAAATTGCAGTGAAAATGTGGGCGAAACGTGTGCGATAAGCGAGGCCCGTGAAAAGTGTCTGGCAATGTTCCTCAGTGTCGGTGATTCGAGCCAAGTTTAAGGACAACAACTGCTACAAATACGAAATAAAGGCGGCAGAAGCCCCTGCGACACCCCTTTTTGACCCCCCGAACAACAAAAACAAGCAAGACGACGTCCAAGAAGAAGCAACAGCAGCCGCCGCGGCCGAAGACGAGCAGCATGTTCAAGTGCATTCCCATCTTCAAGGGCTGCAACCGGCAGGTGGAGTTCGTGGACAAGCGTCACTGCTCCCTCCCCCAGGTGCCCGAGGAGATCCTGCGCTATTCGCGCACGCTGGAGGAGCTCTTCCTGGACGCCAACCACATTCGCGACTTGCCCAAGGTGAGTGGAATATAGACGCCAAAATATTGATTCTCAGTTGGAAAGCTACTTAATCGGACAAATTATTGGTTCTTTATGCCTATTAGTTTCTATAGTTAGCTAGCAAAATTATGGTAATTTTACAAATATTTATACTCAAGAAAGAGTGTGTGAGTCTCGTTTAAAAGGCAGTTGTTCCAGCTTTAAGTATTTCCTCTCGGAAAAGTTCGACTTTAGGAACTTCGACTGTATACCGCGGCCCGGGAAAATCAACCTGAGCTGAATGAATCTTCTCGCTGGGACGGTCTGGGCTGGGCTGGGTGCTAGCCTGCAAATGTCATAGTTCAAAGTGTGTGGGAAATTGAATAAATTCGGCAAGTCAGGCTCAGTTGGGGTGAGAATTTAGTGGGTGGATGGTAAATGAAAATTAAATATTAATAGATGCGGTGTTTATGTTGGGAAAATAAGAATATCAGGCTTGGTACAAAATGAAATTAAGGAAAAACAATTGAATTTATAAATTTGATATGAAAAAATCAAGTAAAATATATTAAATAACACATTAAGAGGCAAATTTAAGCTAAAACAAAGATGTCTCTGTTTGCAATCCCCTCAATATAGATATGTTTTCAAGAAAGAAATGCCTATAGACTGCTGGGCATTCCAATATGGATTGTTTGATCTGCTCAAACCCCTTGGTTATCTGCTACAACTCTGAACTGAACGGCCTTGTCTGGCGATGATAGCTTTATGTTTGCAAACTTGTCCCACCGCCGCGGCGGTGATGGTCCTAAGCTCAAGGGGTTGATGGCTGGGCACGTAATTTGCATCCCCGGGTGCGTTGACCCCGCCCAGGGCCAGTCCTTCTTCTCGCAACCTCAAACTCAGCCTTATCCTTCCCTGAATGGCCGCACTCAGGGCCATTCTCCTTTGGTCAGTCAGCTAGCCAGCTATCTGCTGGAGCATTGCCATTTACCAAGACAACAATTACGACAAAAGAGGTTCCCCGGCCGGGCGGAAGTCTTTAATTAATGCGGGGAAATGGGGGGAAAAGCCGCTTCGCAGTGGGCTGCGCTGGGCCGAGTTAACTCTGGCCGGGGTTCTTTGACAGTGCAGCCACAATGGAGAGAGAGTACATGCATAATTGAATCTGCAATTACGCAACGCGGGTCGGCGGGACAGGCAGGCAGGCAGATCAAAGGCTCCGGCATGTGCAGCATTCTAATTAGTGGCCAAGTGCCCCGATAATAGCCACAAATTGGGTGTGGCTTCCATTGGCCACAGCTCACTCTCGCGCCTCTCCGGATTATTTCGATTGGGATGTGAATAATTCTGGTTATTTATTTGGCTGTGCCAGCCAGCGGTCTTCCTCAACGCCGGCAGCTGGTAAATAAACAACAAGTAAACAAGCATAAACACTGGCTCGTTGACATAGCAACAAGTGGTGGGTGGTAGCGGCAGTATCTTGTTGCAGAATTGCAATTCATTTGCGGTCAGCCAGTAACTCCTTGCCCTTCCGTCTGTCATGCACTTGGTCAGTTTTCATTAGGCCTCCAACGGGTCTTCCTGCAGCTTCCCTCCCGTTTCCTCTTCGATCCACCGCAGTCACTAATGAACTTCTAATGCAAATGCAGACCCAGCATTTATTGGAGCAGCGTTCAGCGGCCACATGTTGCTTTCCCGCGGCAAACAGCCGGAGTAGAGCAACCACAATGGACGACAAGACTCCCATATAATGATGATGTTCTGAGTTCGGTTGAATGCTAAACGAATGACAGCGGCGGCGGATGTGATTGTTGCTTCAGTTTAGCTTCTGCTGATGGAATGGCGAGCCGTTCTCAACCCTTTTCCTGGATTGTTGAGAGCGGTACACAATTTCCGCGTTGTCATAGCATCGACGAGTTGTGGGGAGAGTGCACACGAAAAAATTTTATAGAATGATTAGAGATTTGCTATAATTTTGATTAAGGAAGTTTAAGCTTTTTAATTTTTACTTTTAAACTCTTTTACTTATTCCCATAAAAACCTTAAAATATATCGAATCTATCTTAATTTTGTATACTGTCCAAAGATTACCATATCAACTTTTATTTGTACAAAACTTAATAATTTTTTAGCGTGTACCGACCTCAATAGACTCGTTACTAACTCAACGACAATCTGTTTCAATCTTATGGCATTTGTTTGCCTTCATCAGGAGGAGTTGGCAATTGAATGGGAAAATGCTGCCTTAAATTCTGCATTTTCCGCAATTATTTAAAGGGCCTCTTTAGCTTTGGTATACTCTCCCCCTCGACTAGTAATTTGCATTATGCAACTCCCCGATTAGGGCTCTCCAGCGTTGAGTTATTGGAACCTACCTCAAGGAGACACAATGGACTCAATGCGGCCAGAAAATTGGCTTCTCTCCGCTGGCATGCCACCCACCCACCATTCACAGACCCAACTGGCCCCATTCATTTTGGGCCAATTAGTCACGCTCTGAGATAAGATACCGAGTAATCACCTTATCGCCTGGCATTGCCCCAATGGGCCTGAGGTTCAACCTGCTTACCCGGCCCGGCCAACCTTCCTGTCTTTTCCGACTCTTGCTGTTCTCCTTTCAGGCCCCCGCCGAAACCTGAACCAAAGCAGGTGCCTCTCGGCGTTTGGGGGAGGAAACTGGAACGGGGGCGCTCGTGAAAAACTTAACCGGCAGTCTGGCTATTGAACACACACAAAGACCGAGGCAACAACAACAAGAGCGGAGCGACGGCAATGACATCATTTGGTAGTAATCGCGTACCTGACACAGCGAACTCGACAACAGCTACGAAAACAGCCAGCAAGAATCTAAAATGGCGTCGCACCGCTTTTAGTGAGTTTGGCTAAGTGAGCGCAATAGTCGCCGCACAACTTGGCTCAACACCTGGCTACCCCGAAACGATACCCAACCCTCTTTGATTTGGCAACTTTTTGGTCATCAATATAGCTTGGGCAACTTAAACACTTGGGTCATCCATTTGTTGTGGCTTAAAGAAACTTAAAAATACCGTCAGAACTCAGTAACCCTAAACAAAAATACTTTTATATTAAAATCTGGTATAAGTTTTCCTAAAATCAAACCAGGCTATGATTGGTGAAAGCTTACTATTCATTATCAATTATAAAAGTAGTACACATGTTGATTGCTTCTTTATAAAACACCAATTAAACTACTAAAATGCAAAACTAATTCTTAATTCATTTTCCCAACATAAAGATTATCTTAGGCATTATTTTCCGTTTTTACGAGCTTGCTATATGATTTACGTACATTATAAAACCACAGTTATCATCCTCAAGCCGCGAGTCGAACTGTACTTTACTTGTGGAATTTTTCATTCGATTTGTTTTGAGTTTTTCATTTCGTTTTCGTTACACTAAGCCACGCTCGTCTCTCGCATTCCCCATCGCTTATTTTGTTGGATTCTATCCACTAGCTGGGAGCTTGTGGGAAACCGGTTTGCCTATAAATAAATAAATGTTTTCCACTTAATTGTTTCTGAAGGCTTTTGTATCAAACATTACCTGGAAGCTGAAGCTGCTCTCAGTTTGTTTGCAGCTGTTTTAAATGTTATTTACCCAAAGTGCATTTCTCCCATTTCGCTGAGATTCGCTGTGGATGCTGGAGCTTTAGATATATGGCGCCTGATATGGCAACGGCGTTGCAATTTCTGTATTTGCATCTGAAAGATACTACATTTTCCGAAGCAGCTGTTTGGGAAACGAGGTACGAATGGTTTTAAGTGCTTTTCCGCTGACTACCACTTGGCTGTTTTTTTTTTTTTTTTGTTATCCGGTGGCTGGCTGCATCGTCTGCAGGCTGCCATAAAGAAAGTTGTTGGCATGACAAATGCATAAAGGCACACACAGATACAGATACTCAGATAGTTGGCCTGCGATGGTAAATGGAAAAATGAAGATGTACAGATTGGACCAGGCGCCCAGATTTAGCGAGGCAGTAGATGCGATTCCTTCCTCTGGCGGATGCCACTGGAGAAGCTCGTGTCTTGTTTGTTTGACGATTACACATATTTGTATATTTTTTGACTCCTCTGTTGCAAGCTGCACTCGAAGAAAAGTGGAGTGTGAAGAGTGTCAATAGAACATGGCACGAAAAGCCTTTGAGTTGGAGAGAAACATGTGAGTTTCCTGGGCAAGATTGAGTTCCTTTCCCCCTCCTGGTCTTTCCCTAAATATTCCCCTAAAATTATTTAAACTTGATGTTCTTTTCCATTTCTTTGAGTGCATCTGTGTATCTGTATCTTCAGTGCGGCGTGAAATACTAAACGTAGTCGGAGTCTTCAGTTCCAGCTCTGCACATAATTGCTGCTGTCTGTCTGTCTGTGTTGTCGGTTGGTTTGTAGCCCGGTTGGCTGTTCTAGCTCAGCTGGTTTACGTGGCCGTGGCTGTAGATGCGTTCGCAGAGATACTCGCAGCCGAAATGTATCTAGAACCCGTTTCGGGCCGAGTGCGATGCTTGCTGGGCGCCTAGTCATTTGCAACATGCACACACCACTCGCGAGTGCGGTTATGTCTGTACATGCGTGTGCTGCCCCGCTGTGTGAGTGAGCCAGATACATCACCGGCGGACTCGGGGGGCACTCGGATGCGGACTCGGACTCGGATTCGGATTCAAAAACAGATTACACTTGCAGATACACTGGGGCACACACATTAAAACATTGCTGGCGGGCAGCGAAGCGCACCCGGGTCATGGCTCAGTTCGCACTCCCCTCGAATTGCATTATATTCTGGCCATCAGGAATTTGGCCGACCCATCAGGCAGGCTCCATTAGTATGGCTTTTAGGCAGCACAAATTGGTTTTCCGACCGACCAGGCCTGGACCTGGGCCTCTTGACAAAGGCAAATTGAATTGTTTTTGTTAGAGGTTTACGGGCATAACAGATAAAGTAACTATGCTTAAAATCGAATTATGCACATGCAGCTCATACAGTGTTGTGTCGCTCGTCGTCGCTCGGTGATGCAACCGATGCGAACGAACAGCCGTCGTTGGCCGGGCCAAAAGCCGGCTACTGCCACTTGCTGGGCGCCTGCTTCGACTAGATACAATAGTAAAAGTGTGCTGGCTGAGTGAGTGAGTCTATCCCGGGGCGTGTGTGTATGTGCACTCGAGTGGCAGACAAACTGGTAGTACTCGGTGCTCCGTGTACTCATGGCTATAAGCCGGCCGGTCTGCCGGCCGGTAATTTATGGCCATGCAAGGAGAGTGACGGGCAAAGACATGTACATGTACGTGCGCACTCACACAACCCAGCTGCGGAGCTGCAGCGTGGGTTGTTTGGGCCAAGAAGGGGGACGGTGGTTTGGGTGTCTTTTGTGCCAGCACTTGGCGAAAAGTTTGCAATTCGCATTCATTTTTATTGTCGTCATGCCTTGTCCTCGTTTTGTTTCTCCGCTTTTGTTGCACTCTCGGCCAGTCCACCTCCGCCCGCTGCTACCTTCTGGCCCACTGTGGTGGCCGCCCTCTTTGGGCCATTTTCATATGCAAGCTTCGTTTGTTTTTTGTTCTTCTTTTTTCGGACGGCGCTGCTGTCTTCCTGCATTTTTTTGCGCCTGCCTTTGTCGCTGACAGTTGCAACTTTTTGACGCATGATTTGTTGAAAGGCTTTTCGCTTTTTCTGTTTGCATAAATAGGAAAAAGAACATGGCCATTGTAGGTGGCCAAAAGCAGCAAAAGCAATGCAGCTGACACTAATGGAGTCTAAGCCGCTTTGTCTTTAAAGAGCCCCTTGTTCATTATACAAACCAATGGTTTTTCTGACATTGACTTTCCCAGAAACTTGCACTGAGGAAAATCTTAGTTTAATGAGTTTTTTTCAGGTAAAAACATTATATTTTACAAAAAGTTATTTGTCATTTATCTTATTTTCCGAGAGAACGAAACAAAAACATTCTTTCTCTGAGAAATGTGTAATCAAAAGGAATATGTAAGGCTTTGTTGATTTTTCCACAAAATTCATTTAAGATTACAAGTATGTGTACTTAATACAGTATTTTAATATTGATAAAGTCGTCATAAATGGATTATTTAATATATTTTGTTAACTAAATTAAAATTTAAAAGTTCTGTAAATCATTTTTATGTGATATCTTGTGTCCCCGAATTCACATGGATTTATGGGCTGCCCTTCCTTAAATTCCTTTCGATTTGTAAGTCCGAAAATGCTCTGAGCTGGTGGATGGCAGGCCTTGTCCGAGGTGCGGAATTCGCTTGTTCAGAGTGCCCCAAAAAACTGGGTCAACAACTCCCAGTACTTGGCCCGGCACTTCTATTGTCATGTGGGACAAACAAAGAGCACAACAAAAAATAGAAAGAATTTAATAAACTTTACGGCCACAACTACGAATTATTTTCATTATTCTGGTGGCGGCGACGGCCGCTGCCGTTGCTCTTTTTTCTTTTTGTTGGGCTTGGGTCGCCCCAAGAAAGAACCAAGAACAACAATGGCCGATAAAAATCGCGGTGGCAGAACCGAAAGCAGCGTCGTCGACTGGGGCTGTTAACCTTGAGGTCTATGACTCAGCGAGTCGGTAACTTTCTTTCCAAGATGAGTACTCCACATTGCAGGAAGGTCAGATGGAGTGCGGGTACGGGTATGAGTTGGGATGCGGGCACAGGTCTAGGCATAGGTACTCCTAGGCACCCTTCACTTTGGAAAGTCCGTGGAGCGCCAACATAATTTATTTCGAAATTCGAATCGAAGTCGTGATTTTCATAAATGAATTGTTGGCGACATGTCTCCACTGTCTGGGGCGAAAGGAAAGCTGGACCGAAAAGGAGGAGGGAACCCTGGGTAATTCTAATGGTAAACTGACTGGTGGTGGACGGGTCACGGCTCTAACAAATGACAACCTCTGGGAGATTTATGACCACGAACGGAACAACGAACGAACAGAGCGATTCCAAGCAAACCTAACTGAGATGCAATGCCTTTTGTCTTGAAAGGCTTCCGAGAGTCGTGCTGAGGTCTAAATCTTGTTTCTTCTCTCTTCCGTGCTTGCAGAATTTCTTCAGATTGCATCGCCTGAGAAAGCTGGGCCTGAGTGACAATGAAATTGGCCGCCTGCCGCCGGATATACAAAACTTTGAAAATCTCGTCGAGCTCGATGTTTCACGCAATGGTAAGTTCAAATCCAAATGCAAATCCGATTACTTGTAGGAAAATATACCCCAATGAACATGCAACAAGTGGCTAACTCTAAATGGCAAGGCACCGTGGATGTTGCTGTTTCGAATTTCGATTTTGGCTTTAGTCGGACAGCACGTGTCCGTTGATTGCCGTGATTGAATGACAGAGTGATTGAGGGTGGCGGCAGCAGCACCATTGTGGTCTCGATATCCATCTGGGGATGCCACACGCAATGCAGCTGATGTGGCAACAATTGCATATAATAATTGCATCTATGTCAGTGATTGAACGGGGTATCTGTGGTGTCTGTGTGTAGCTGCGGTTGGGTTTGATGAGCCTGCGACTGAATCAGCATATCGGATGACGCACCAAGCTTTCTCCCTCAGCGTGGGTTGATCAACCTAATTACAGAAAATGTCGAGCTGTCATCCGTAGTGGTTATTGAGTTATTACTAATTGTTGTATTGTTTGTTTGCTGAATGCAGTACTTGCAATCTGATGGAAATTGATGATAATTATCAGTATCATGGCTATGAAAATGTATGTTTGACTGAGCAAGAGCTTAAACCAGAACAAAAGCAAAATACAGGTTGCTCAGGGACACCTCTCACGAGGTCTGCTCTAAACTATTTCTCTTGGTATCAAGAATTTTAATTATATAAACTTAAATTTCCTTTTAAAAAGTTCAAAATGATTATAAAAATCTTAGACATTCACTGAACCCCTATTCGTTGAAGCTTTCTTTTGTGTAATTTTTCCATTAAAGTCTTCTTTCCGTTCTTTTATCGTTTAAATTGCTCTGTATTACAGACCTTCAACGACTCTAAACTCAATTTAAGTGCAAACAATTGCATTGTCTTATCTCCACAGTGCATGCAACATCCGTATTACGCTGCTCGTTTCTTGTTGCCCTACACTACAAGTGTTTTCTCAAACAAAGAAGATGCAGCCGAGTTTTTAATAACTTTTTCCAAGCCAAACTTGTGTCATATATATTCAATGCAACCCCCGTTTAAGTATGTATGTGTTTTCCGCTCAAGCAAGCATAAATCCGTAAACAGTAAACAGTAATTGGAGTCAAGTGCACCTCGTCGACGCGATATTGTAATAAATGAAAACGAAATATGTTCTGAAAATAACTTAAATAAGTAAATCAGCTGCAGAGGGGCAACCAACGGCACCCTGCCTTGTTTAATACTCCAACCACTTCACAATAACCATGGCAACCAACTGAATACAACTCGCCGAATTCATTCACAGTCCCCAATGGAATATTATCGACAATGACGTCGTCGAGGCGCTTCCCATTTCCGTTCAAAGGTTTCAATTTCACTAGCTGGCAAAGCGAAATTCAGCAACTTTGCAGCTATTGCATTACCACACAGAAAATAAAATTCAAGTAAATCTTTGCAGACTAAAAAATGAATATATTTCGAAATGATTTTACTGATAGATGATCAAAGCTTTTGTTCTTGAGGTATTAGTGATTGTTAAATACCTTTTTAATGCTTAGTTTTTTTATTTCCAATGAGTATTCCTTAGTTCTTATATATATCTTCAAGTGATTTTTACATATTTTTACCTATAAGATTTTAGTTAAGTTAAAACATATTTTTCCTGTGCACTCATTACCCAATTTGGCTCTGATTTTAATGTGACTGGCGGGTCGTACTACTACAGCTTGGGGTACTTTGCTGATTATGCAGTTTACGGCTGGCGGTTTGCTGTTTATACACATGACCCACAAATGACCAGAGACTCACTGCTTAGGCTTGTATGTGGCCAAGTGAATGGACCTGAAGTGGTTCGCTCAAGCGGCTTGCTGCTGAAATCTGAGCTGGATTTTCCTGGCTCTGGGTGAAAGGCCGCCCACGTTAGTCGCAGCTTAGATTATCCGCCTGGCAGGAATCGGTGATTAATGGCCGTTAAAGAGCGATAAGTCGATCAGCGAAATATTAAAAGATCTCTCTCTTAAAGCGCAGGCTTTCTATTTGAGCTCGCAGCCCTCCTTGGGGAAGGAAAGCCTTTCACATTCGATTGCAGCCGGTGCTCAGTGCATATTTTATTGGTCCACCGGGCACAGGTGTGAGTGTGAGTGTGTGTGCACTGGCGCACCTCTTAAGGTTATTTCCCAAGCACATTTTCTTATTGCCAACCGCGAGAAAATTTCAATTCTCAGCTCGTGGGTGTTGCATAGTTTTCATTTTTCATTCTCCATTTTCCTTTTTCCACTTGTATTTTTTCCGTCTTCTATTTTCCGCTCAAATTAGCCGGCTCGATTTGTATTCGGCTTGTTTGCCTTGCCAGCTGCAGTTGCCACAACAATGGCCATCAGCCATGCCAGCCACAAGTTGAGCAAGTGCAGCGATAACAACCAAAAAAGGGAAGCTGTCCTCGGCATACCGAAGTGGTTATACCCTCGAAGCAATTATATAATATAAATTAAGCGAGGAAATAGTAGTTACTAAGAATCCTAGTCTAAGATAAGTTAACATAAAATTGTGGAAAATACAAGAGAGGACAGAAGTCAAAACTAAAGCTAACAATACCCCTCTTGTAGCAAAGGGTATTGAAAGTTCCGTTTGTAAAACTGCCACAACACTCGCCCGACTGCACTTGACAATAGAATTTTGTACACGACGTGCATTGTCGCCTATATTTGTATTTGTATTTGTATGCATGCGGCGGTTATAATAACAATTCTAATAAAAACATGAATTCCACTGGCACAGTTGGGTGTGTGTGTGGCTAGTGGGTGTACTTGTGTTTGCCTCTGTTGGTGCGTTAATGTGGACACAGCTGCTCTCAAAATAATAGCACTATATTTTGGCTTTTTAAATGAGGAAAGAAAGTAGTTTTTGGGATGCAATTTTAATTGAATTAATAACAGGTTGCTTACAAATAAGGATAAAATATCCATAATAAGAGACATAATAAATGAATAATGATAAATGCACTACCAAAATTATAGAATATTTTAATTTAAATGCTTCAGTTCAATTTGTTCATCATGTTTTATAGATTGCTTTAGATTTGTAGCTAATCGCAATCCCTTTTTTGGTTAATTAATGTACAAAATCAGGCCTTAATTACTCTAATATTAATAACTTATTAAGTGTCTACTTACTGCCTCGTTAAAGTAATCTCCAAATTGATTTGGAGCTTATAATAACTAGTTTAATCTCTTAAATCAAACCCCTTTTAAGTGCTATTAACTCAACCTGCACTGTGTTGCCTCTGTACAGGTGTAATTGTTAGTCGTCGCCAGTTTTGCACGTAAATCATTATGACAAGTTGACCCGCTTGCTAAACGTAAGCCCAAAGGGCACTGCCGGCTTCTCTGCTGGACATTTACACTACATTTTACAGTATTTTTATTTTACTTTTGGTTTTGTCTTTTTTAGCTTACTGCTAATTGTTTGTTTATTTGCTTATTGCGTTTTCTATTTCCATAGCTGCCATCTATTTTTGCTTTTTTTTTGCTTCGACTGCAGTTTCGCCGTTTATAGAGAGCCGCTTCGTGCCGTGTTTTGTTTACTAAATAACAAAATAAAAACAACAAAAAAATTATGTATTTTCAATGCCCCTGACGGCTCGGTTGTTGCAGTTGCCAAGCCGAGTTTATTTGTATAAGTGCGTTGTGTTTTTTGGTTTGCAGCATGCGACAAACAATAGAATTGTGAGAATTTCACTGCTCGAGTCTAATTTTTGGAATGCCAACCCGATTGGATACGCGGTGTGACATGGCTGTGAATAGTTACTGAAATAGAAAGATATAAATTGGAAAAAATACACTATGAAAAATTGTATGTTTACAGCAGAAATTTAAAAATTCAGTTGAGATTAAAAGTAAACTAGTAAGAGGGTTTTTGGTCAAATAATAAACTTAAGTTTCCGATTTATCCAACCTGAAATAATATATAATATAACCGCACTGGGGATTTCATGTAGTTATTCGAGTGGAAGTGCAGATATGGTTGGTGCTAGTGCAATCCACTTTTCATCTTACTGGGAAATGTGTTTCGCCTAAAGCTGATTGAAACTGTTGCTGGGACAAATGCCTGAAAGTCGAGCAGCAATCAACTCAAAACAAACTCAATTAAATGCTATTTGAAAGTCATGCCCTTAGGCCCTGTACGACACTTGTTTCCCCTTCTGCCATTTCCCCCCGAAATGTGTGTCATCTTTGCCTCCTGTAATGTTTTTGTTTTCGTTGTGTTGCAATCGAGGCGTCAACTGGGTCAAAGTTAAAGTACACGCGGCCGTTTTGCCCTGCAAAAAACGAATCGCGGCGCCTCCGTTCGAGTGGCGTGCTCATTTCGTTGTTCTTCGGCGCTGGTGGAGACTGCCAGAGGTTCCAAGTCCCCAGGTCCCAAGTGCAGTCGACACAAGCAAGGGCCTAAGTACGGGAAAGTATAAGCCGACAAGGGCCGCCGACAGGGCATCAAAAGAACTTATTACACTTGCAAAAAACTTAATTAAAAAACTAAGAATTTTCAGTTTCTATATTATATTCTGTAAAGGGAATATTCTTAAAAGATGTTAGATTTAAAAATATAATTCTAAAGTACATAAATAAGTTTTTTAATTTATTTTCAAAAGGGTATATTTAAAATTATTTTCAGAAAGGGTTCCATTATCCAAATCTATTCAACTTTTCCTTTCTATCTCTTTGTTATCTATTTAATTAACCTTTTCCTATAAATAAATCAAATTTAGAAACAAGTTCTTAATTTTTTCAACTGCAGACCGAAAGACTTAGTGAAAGAGAAAGATGAGAAGGAGGAAGATGAATCGGGGGCAGCGAGAACAAAGACAAAAATCAAAGAATCCAAGCTTTGTCGTGGTCTCGGAACAGGCCATTAGCGTCCATGACTTTGTAGGAAGTTCTCCGAATGAACAGCAATTGACCAAAGCCAAAGCCACTGCCAAGTGATGAGAACATTTCAATGTACTCTCTGAACAAACAAACAAAACTAAGACTGGCAGACC